CTAGCAGGGAGGACTGTTTTATCTTGGCTGTATTATTTATGAATAATTATATTTATGCATCCTCTGCAACAATGCACCCCATGGTAACTGGAAGCTTACCCAAGACCAGTTTGTTGAAGTTCCTTTTCCAGCACCACGGAAGTTTCAGATAGGAGCAGGACTCACCTGTGTGGCAGGCAGAACTTCGCTTGCACCTGCAAGCTGCTTTGAGAACACACTTTGCCATTCTCCATCTTCATTCTTCACTCCTTGCTGCTGCAGCTGCAAGATGTATTTCTTTGACTGTGTTACCTTTAACATGGTGATGAGAATCATCATATTTATTTATATCAATTTATATCAATATATATATCAACATATATATTTATGTTTTATAGCATGGTGGTGGGTTTTATTGTCCCCATTTTTGTCCTTACATCCACTAGGTATAAGGAGGCATCCTGTACACTCATTCCCCTACCCACAGAAAAGAAAGGAGAAAACCCCATCAGTGACTTCAGTAACATCAGGCACTTCACATACAGGCACACCTTGGTGTGGTGCTGTGCCTGAGGATAGATGGAGTGTACAGCTTTTCACAGGAAGCTGTGAGGCCCTTCCTTGGTTTGGGGAGCACTCTTGATAAGTAAGTTTTAATTTTTGTTCTCTCTCTGTTAGACTGCATAATTCCCAGAAAGATTTCACACTGTATCAGAGCCCAGGTAGATCACTGGTCCTACCTCTGTCTCTGCTCTTTGAACATGAGCTATCATCTCTGGTTTGCAATTAAGATGCTGTAGTGGGACAAACAGCAGGAGCTTCTGGTACACTGAGCTACCAAAGGTTTTGTCAGCTTGAAGAATTTAAAGGTGAAGTCATACAGCAAAGCAACTGGAAAAAAAACCACTCATGAAAATCTCCTTCAACAGTCCTGTTTAAGAAAACCATGTAAAGCTGAAAGAAGAAATTACCATACCTGAAGTATTTTTAACTTGCTATTTGCTATACGCAGCATATAAATTGTTAACTGGAAGGGTTTTTAAATATATTAATGACACTGCTTTGATCTGCTCTAGTCCCTTTTCTCTAACCCTTCTGGTATTTGGTGATGGAAATACAGGAGATACTTGTGACTTGCCTGCAGCTAAATTACATGTCAAAATTTTTTGCACGAACACATTTGTGGTTGGGATATCCACATGCAGGGAGAAACAGTCATTGCCATTGTAAAGTCTGAGCACTATCAGTGCTAAAAGAATAGATCCATGGATCAAGAAGAGTTTCACTCCCATCAAGAACTTAAAAGAGACAAATATATTGCCATTCTTTGAATATACCAACACACCTACCCTCACTGTGTCCTTTAATGTTTGAGAGTCTGCATGGTGGCTTTAGATTACTTTTGAAATGCGATTTTCACATTCTTGTTTGTTTTGACTGATGTCTTAATACAATATAAAGTGCTTGCCAGAAACAATCCTTCTCTGTCAGACAACAGCACCAAAGTAAACATTCCTTGATTTGTGCTTGGCAGCTGTTGAAGTAAACCCATATCAATAGAAAATTTCTTTTACTTCAGTTTTACTGAAACAATTTGTTATTAAATGAATCCTAGGTGATTCAGAAGCATGCAACTCCTACAGTGTATTTTTAATAGCAGATTTTTCCCTTTATGCTTTTACCTTCACCTTGGATTTTTCCTTTATCATAACAAATATGGAATTTTTCAATCATTCAAAGACACAATCATAGTAGGAGCAATGGGTAGTCCTGCAGCTGCTTTCAAGTATAAGGGTGGCTTGATCAGGGGAACCACAGAGAGCTGCAGAGAGCTGACCAGTCACTAATTCCCTGCTCCTACCCTTTTTGAAAATTACCCTACTCCTTTTTGAAAAATATAAACATACCTGTCTTTTCCCTTCTTCCTGATATTTCTTCTATCCTTCCTGAATTTTTGAAGAAGATCTGACACATCTGATAGATCTGAGACAGCTTTAGCAGGACCTTTTTCTAGGCTCAGCAGATGAGCCTAGGAAAAACTCATCTGACATGCCTGACTGGAAAGCCTCCAAGCTAACCAGTGACAGTCTCACTTTTTCTTGCCCAATTTTACCTGTCACTGGTATTAATTTTATGAGCCATTTTCTCACAGACAAATTTTCCTTAAGGAAGACTGATGCAATAAAGAGTCTTTATAGAAGGTTTTTCAGTTCAGGATGGGGTTTGAGTTTTCATTAGCCTCCACCTCTCAGTTTCACCTCCCCACCTTGGAAGGCAATGGCCTTCCCTACTCATTGCACATCACTGTCCTCTCTGGGGGCCCCCACTCCTGCTCCCCCTCTTCCCTTTGCTTCCTCACGGATGCTGCCCTACACTTTCCAAGTAGCAAAGTGCTGGAGTACTGCATCCACCTCACCCTGTATATTCTGTCTGGGTTTGGAAGCCACCACTGACCAACATGCAAGGAGGTCTGAGGGAGATTTTCCTGTAGTCTGAGGGCGTGCTCACTGATACGAGAGCAGCACGTGTGGCACAGGGTGATGGGACAGCCATCTGCAGAGATGACGTGGGACCTTACTCTTCTCACTTTATGATGTCCAGAAACCTCCATGTATGTCAAAATTGCAAAGATTTTTTTTCTCTCCAAGAATAATAATTCTCATTTCAGATAAATTACAATTCTCATTACAGATAAATTCGCTCCAATCCTATACAACCTTAAAGACACCCAGCAGGGAGGCAGGCAGGGGCAGCAGAGAGCTGGAAGAGGGACAGGCAAGGAGAGTTATGGTGCTGGCCTCTGGAAAAGAAGAGGCTGTGTGTGCTCAGTGCCAGATGTGTGCAAGCCATGGGGACAGGATGGGAGGAGGTGCTGGCTTTGCCAATGCCCAGGTGCAATTGCCCTACAGCTTTAATGGCTGTGCAGTGTGGAAGAGGATAAAGCTGCGCAGGCAATGCAAGGCACTGCAGTAGGGCAGAATGCTTCATGCAACACAAGCTGCATGTACTGGGCAATCACATGCAACACTGGGAATGAAATGCATCATCTCTCTTCTTGTTAATGGGAACACAGGGCTGCTTCCCTTGCTGCTGTGTAAAGATACCCACAAGGATTTTCCTCCCACTTCTCCCTTTGAAGCCCACTCAATTTGCTCTGTAGGATTTCCCAGAGGTGTCTGACGCCACATGGTTCAACTGTATCTCCTTGGTCAAGGAGACAGCTGTGATTCACGTTTCAGACAAGCAGGCACAGCTGGCAGGTAACATCCTTCGAGAAGCATCTCTAAATGCCCTCATTGTTCAAAGTTTGGGAGTCACAGTCCTCCCAGCTCTCCCCACCCATTGTTGCCATAGGGATGGACAACCAGGTGATGTTGAGGTGCACTCCTCTGCTCCTACCAGGGGCTTAGTCCCAGGTCAAAACACCAATGCCTCCAGTCAAACTAACCACCAGATAATTCACCTTTCAAACCACGTGTCAATGGCAAGAGGGGCAGGTTTGCAGGCCTTTGTGATGCATAAGCAGCTACTGATATTTTCTGTGGTTGAGGAGGGAGAGAGCTGACTTTTAGCCTTAACATATAAAGAACATTGGTCTAAACTTCATTTATTTTCCTCTTTGGAGGTTCCAGCAATACTGGCTAAGTGCTAAAAGTTCAATCTGATATCTAACAATGCTATCTATTTTCCCAATTTATTTTTATGCTGCTTTTATGAGTACTGTTCAGTAAAGAAACAAAGAACTTGCAAGTGAAGATCACATGCTTTCTCATTTGTTTATGTACTGCACTTGATTTTAGAAACCTATGTATAAAGTTTTGTCAGGACAAACCAGGAGAAATAGATTAAATTCTGAGGTGGTAAAAATAAAGTTGGAAAGACACTTCATGTTTGAATTTACCATGGGACAAAACAAATTACATTTTAATCTGAGCTTTTACTTCTACACTAGAAAGAGTGTTAGACAATACCTTTTTCCAAGGATGGGTTGCTTTCAGCTCAGAGTGGATTTGTCCTATAATCCAGGGTTCAAATATAGAAGGGTTCAAATATATCCAGGGTTCAAGTATAGAAGATCATGAGATCTGGATATCAGAAAGCTGAGCAGTTCTAGGCCATCCCAGACTAACAGAGAAGAAGGAAGCCGAACATGGCAGGGAAGGTTTTGCAATTTCAAAAATAAAGAAGCACTGCATGAGTTTTATATCTAGCCATCACTAAACCAAAATCTCATCTATTCAAAATGCAAATTACACCAGTGGCCACATACTGGCTAAAGTGAATAAATCTTCCTATTCTACACACTTCAACAAGACCGCATACCACACCCCTGTGAGTTGCACTTCTTTGTGGTCTAGCTGCACCTGAAGCCAGCAGAGTTACACAACACTCTTACTCCTTGCAGTCCTGCTAAAAGAAGGAATAATTCATGCCAGGGAAGTGTGTGTTCACTGAGCAGCTCCATTTCCCTGTGCACATGTGTGCAAATCACATCTGTGTCCCCTTGACCAGGCTCCACCAACGCCTCTCTGACACCGCGAGGGACAACCCCACCTGCATCTGGCTGCCTCCGAAAGCAGAAAATGCTTGTGGACTTTGAGGTGCCTGGACTAAGAGTTTCCGGGCAAGGACCTCCTTCTCTAAACCAGGGATCAGCCCTGTGTTTTTAATAACCAGTCAGTTAGCAAGGCCAGAAAATGTAGGACTCCAATGCAAAATACATGCTGCAAATGACTTTCTGGCTGCTACTTGGAATGCTCTCTCATACATGCTGGTATTTTATTTTAAAAATGCATGGTTGAGTGATCATCCAGAATTTTTTCTAGCTTTAATTTAGTTTTCTTGCAGTCTTCCTTTGCACAAAACACTTTACATACTTTTGCAGTAAACAAAAATATTTTGTTTATTTGGTTAAAACATTGAAATACTATCACATACTTACCTTCAGTCTATATTTTAAACTGTTGCAATAAATAACAGAAATAAAATCTGAAAGACCTTCAAACCCACACATTAAGAAATATGCTTATCATGACAAATCTTTACTGAAAAATTAGTTTTATTGAGTGGAACAATTGCTTTTACATTGGTATTTCATTATTTCAGATAGGAATGGTTATATTTATGTCATTTGCTTCCATGTCATAGTTTCCTTGTCTGCAAGATTATGGCAGACTTCATTGTTCTACTTATGAAATAAACAGAAACAAAAAGAAGTTCCCACACTATGACATAAATCTAAAAAAGACAGTTATAGAAGGCAAAGTTACAGCAGCCAACTCCTCTCATAAGACTCATATTACATTTGGTAAACCTCAACTTGATCTGGAACTTAAAACCCATGAATTTTTTGTGACAAAGTAAAAAGTAAAGAAACCTATGATTAAAACTTCCTTTTTTCAATTTTGTTGGATTGACAATTTTACTCTACAATGTGTCCATAATACACTGGAGTGTACACACACATTCTTCACATTCTACCTGTCTTTGTGAATTATTTCTGCAATCTCTTGTAGAAGATCAACAGCTGTTTGCCGTCTCCACCCAAGCCCTATTGTGTGATCAAGTCTTTTCCTCCATTTTCATATTTTTTTAATCCCTTTTCCCCCACACATTTTCAGCACCTACTTGTGAAACTTCATTAACTATCTGTGTGATTCATGCAGCCTCACTGACCTGTTTTTATTATTGTGTTTAATTACTAAAACAAACAAAAAAGTAATTAGAAATTTGCAGCTGACCCTGGAAGTGCCCCAAAAAGTTTCAGCTTCATTATTTCATTCTTCACTGAAAGAAAATAATCTCTATCTTGTTTTATTGCAATAATAATGTTTCCTTAGAGTCACTCAGTTTTTCTAACTAAAAGATGGGACACTGATGTAAAGAGCATCAGTATGAAGACCTCCAGGGACTGCAAGGAGCCTTCTGTGAGGCCCAGGACAGCAAAATGCTGAGGTCCCTGATTATATCTGCTAGGATATCTGTAGGAAGAGGCCCCAAACCTTTGCTCTGCTAGGCAATATGAAGAACCCAGTGTAATGGGCTTACTGTCTAAACAGCGTCATTATTAATATTTTTATCTGAGAGCACCTCCTTTTCTTGGAGTGAAGAAAGGAGGGCATGAAAAAGGCCACAGGTCTTAAGGAAATAAAAAGATTCAGGTGTTTAAAAGAAAAATATATTCTTGCAATAAAAAAAGCTCTAGGCTGTAGTTTGGGATGGCTGCAGCAAATGGATGAGGTAGATGCCATCACTATGGCAGAGAGAGATGGTGAGTGGCTGCTCAGTCCAGCAACGTCAGGCCACGTGCTCAATAGAGCTAAAATCCATACAGTCTATGCCAAGATTAAATTAAATATTCTCTGAAATCTACTGTCTCCTGCATCCATGTGAACCAAACAATTCAAACAGGGATGTTAGAATGCACTGGATAAACTCGCATGTTAATGAGTTTATCAATGCACATCCATATAACACATAAACTAGCAATAATCAAGTGTAACACCTCAGATGTGCTGTCAGGACCAATAAAAATGACAAAGTAATTTTCATGGCTGTAGGAGTACAGATGTCTTATGTGATCACATGGCTTATCAACAAATGGAACTAATGAGAATCTATTTCTAAATGCTTCATCCCACCTCAAAGTAAAACAAACAAACAAATAAACAAACAAAAATGTAGAAAAGGTTCAGGCAAGTGCAGTGGCTGGTGGTGAGCATGGAAAGCCTGCTGCCTAAGGAGAGATCAAACAGACTAGGATGTTCAGTGTGGACAAAAGGCAGAAGAGAAGAAGTACAAGGGATAAAACCCTGATGTTAACATCTCCAAGGATAGATGAAGTTCTGAGAGTGTAGAGGAAAAAATATGCCATCATACTTCAGAACTTCTTTCCTTATTGGAATAAATAGGGCAGATGTAACAAGTACCTCAGGGGTTTTTAAGACAAGCAGACCTTTTCCACCAAATACAGAATTAATTGTGAGACCCTATGCTGTGAGAATTTATAGGTGCCAAGACTATAAGTGGGTTAAACACAACATTTAAAAGAATCCAGAGAAGTCCATAGGGAAGAATCAAACCCACAGACACAGCCTCCATCTCAAGGGATCTCCAACTGTGGACTGCCGTATATTAGCAGGTATAGAGGAGCTCTACATCCATGTGGGCTGTTCATATACTTTTTTTTATGTGCATCCACTACAGCCATGAGGTTAGAGAGACGTAGCAGACCTCCCACCTGGCCCAGGGTCAGCATAAAGCATAGCACTGCCTTTTAAAAAAGTAGCTTTTGAATGCAAAATCACATAAAATCTGGCTGTCCAGCTAGGATTTCCTTAGTCACACTGCTTCTTTTTGCCCTTTGAGTGAGGTAGAGGATTATCTAATATGTTGTAATTAAATCAGAAATGCAGTTACTGTTGTCAAAACATGAGTCATTTTTTCATGCACAGATCTGATTCCAGTGTCACAGTTGCAAAGGCATCTTTTCAAACTCTATAACGCTGGATTAAATTTTTCTTCTGAGCTAAGCTGTCAGCAAAAACTGCTTAGCAGTGAGTGGCAATCAATCCAGCCTTGTCTCTCAACAAGTTAAAGAGTTTTGACATAGTGTGATTCTCATCTAGAGGTTTGCTTATGAATAGAAAATTCAAATGCTTTTTGAAAGCATACTTTTAATAAAATCACCCACTTATAGAAAGAAAAGCTCTATCCAAAGAAGTAGGCTGTTTGCCTCAGCACCTCTTGAAATTTCAGTAATATTGCCATGCATGCACTTGGGAAGATGCATTTCTTCAGTTTCACTTGACATTCTTGACATTTTTCACTCCCTAATGCAAAAAGCAGTGTCAGCCAGGACTTGCCACAAAATATACCCATTGGTACATGGTACACCATCTCAGTGAAGTATTAGCTGCTCAGCTATTGGCTGCTTATCTCTTTTGTTACTTGAATAACAAGGATTATGAATTATTCAGCTACAGTATGAAATGGATAAATATGATGCATTTCCCAGATTTCATAAAAGTTAAAATACTGGGCACAGAAGAAAGGGACTACATTATGCAGAAGAAAAAAGATAGGATCAGTATGAAGCAAGTATTTCCTAACAAAGAAGCCTATTAAATGGCTGAGAAGTCCCTTGTGGGAAGAGGTGGAGGCCTCATCATTTTAGATATTTAAAACCAGACTAGACAAAGCATTCATCTCTATGGGGGCGAAGGAAATGGATAAAATTACTTATTAGGCTTCTTCCTATCTATCTCTGGTTTCTACCACTTAATACATTTTTTAAAATGCAAAGCACATTTGTATAGCAAAAGGCAGAAAAACAAAAAAAAAAAGTTTTCTACTTGCAGTGTTGCCCAGCACAATTAAACTTGATTTAAAATTAAATTTATGCTAGCAATTCAAGATGACTTCTCTTTATTTAAGGTCTGAAACTGAAAGATTTGCTGCTGTCACATGTGTCTTTAAAAAGATGATTTACTGTCCCCAGACTGGGGATTTATCCTTTGTGCCAGAACTCTTTGTGAACTGTGATCTTTCAACTTTGACAGAGGTGGCTAATGCAAAAGAATGGTGCTTTACAGAAAAGTAGTGGAGTACAGGGTCTGTGCCTGAGGTCTGGCAGACTTATCAATTCCCTTGGGAATCTCCTGCACTAAATATTTACTGATGTCACTCAAAGGATAACATCTAGTCTGTTAGTATGAAAGTAAAAAGAATCTCAGTCTCTTCCTATCACTTTGAATATCTTAAAGTTATTTCAAAATTCTCAGTTCTTCTTCCCCACATTTTTTCTTTTTTCTCTGTTTTTAATTTTTTAATCCTTGAAATTTAAAATCCTTGCATTTAAAATAAAATGTACTGTCTCACTTTGTAGAAATAAATATGAAGAAATGGAAAAACCCCCAACCCTAAGAAGCCTTAGGATAGTCAAAATGTTTAGAAGTGTAACACTGTGGATCTTTCACTCCACCTACCACCCATACAGGAAGATGAAATAATGATGTAGAACTCCTGTACAAGAAATCAAGATGCACAGCTAAAGTGAACTGTCCCAGAGGCAATGCAGGGGTGAGTGTTGAGCCATGGTGGTGCTCTGGCTTGGAACATCCTTTCAGTAATTTGGAACCAGCCAAGACAAGGCAGGATACAGCCCCATGTTTTCCTTTCTTTGACATCAAAACTGTTTCAACAACATGCTGCCATTTACCCGCTGCACCCTGTTCACTCTCGCATCCTGGCTGCACTTTGCTGTATTTTCAGTATTAGCCCTGCCGTGCTGGACTGGGCTGCAAACTCAATGTAGTAGAAAATATTGCTTCATTTCAAAATACTGCTTATCCACAGTTTCATGTAGACTTGTTTCATGAGAGGGGGAAGAAAAGTAAGAGGAATAATGAGTTGAATCTACCACTAGAACTGGTTAAAATTAAGAAAAACAATGGCCTTGTACCCAATAACAAGGAAGTCCCTCAAAAATTTCATCTACCTTCCGGTGAACCTCCACAGTTCCTTTTCCTCAGGCTGAAGTGCAGCCACTTAGGTGGAAAGCTGTGTTTTCCTGTTTTGTCTATCTGGCTTTGTGCTGCTGGACTCCACAGAATCAAAGAATTCTCTGAGTTGGAAGGGAGCCACAAGGATCATCAAGTCCAACTTTCCAGTGAATGATCCATACAGGGATCAAAGCCATCCCTTAGCATTATCAGCATCCTGATCTGACTCACTTATCTGTATCTTCAGGTAATCAAGTGTGTTTGGAAGAGTCTATTTTTGGGTACATTGTTAAATATTGGCAACCCTGAAGTTTGCCAATAATGTTATCAGGACAACAGTTTGCCTATTTTAAGTGTTTTATATTAGCATATACACTTTTGTGGGGCTAGAATCAATATAGCAGGACCTACCAAAGCTCACAATGCAGCTAAATCAGAGACATCAGCCCTTACTTTGGCCAGTCCTGTAGCTTTAAATAGTTAACATAACAGTGGGAGTATGCCCAAATCTGAGGATCCATTTAAATTAGAATGAAGTTCAGTACTTTGCCATTTGGAAAGTAAATGTACTCAACTGTAATAACAGTAGTGAATTAATTTAATTTCCAAATGAATTTTAAACCCCAGAAGGGTCAGAATGAAAACATTAAACTGTTTGCAGCAGCTCTACCCCAAAATATTTATTCAAAATAGCCCGTTTGTCCCAGGCATAGACAACACCCCCCTCTCTGCTTTGCTCAGCTTCTCAGTCAGCCTAACCCCAGCCCCAGGTCCTATGTAAGAGCCCACAGACTCTGTTAACCCACGCTCTGTTAATTGCCCTTTGGGCTCTGGGCTCAAGCACAGCTTCATCCCTCACCAAGTCCTGCTCACAGGATGGCCCATCTCAGTGCATCCTTCCTAAGCTGTGCCCAGCAGCTGCTCCTGCATCATCCTGCCCCAGCCCTCAGGGGATACCACGATATCATACTGTAAATGGGCAGCTGGCAAGGACAGGGTCTGCATCCACAGGATAAGCAGGAATTAAAAACAAAACAAAACAAAAAAATCTCATTTGGATGAAATTAATCCTATAGTAATGAATTTCTAGCACTTTGTACTTGGTTGAGTCATGTCTGGGCACAGCAGGAATAAATCCCATTGAAAGGGAAATGCCTTGGTGTGCAGGCAGTATTTTACAGCCCCAGGAGCTATTACTTCCCAAGGAGAGAAAAACAGTCAGAGAAAAGGAAGGAAAACCAGACAGAGAATTATGCAAGTCTTGATTTTAGCCCCATTAACATCGATTTCAGCACAGTTATTCTACTGCAGAGGACACAAAAATTTTCAGGTTTTTTTAGACAAAAGTCTAAAGGATATTAGAGAATAAAAATAAGGAAAGAGTAATATCTGAAGTTCTTCTAGTCTCAGTCACACAGCAAAAATTCTTCTCCACAAATAATTGAGATTTATCTCCCACCAATTCTCAATGGCCGTATTGTAAGTCATACAGGTATTTCATGACCCCAGAGTTGCAATAGCATGCTCTGGCTGAGTGGCAGCATAGCTGTACAATCAATATGTTTTCGCATGCTTGCATCTTTGGGTGGGTTAGAAATGCAGCACAGTCTGAAATAACAGTATAAATTTAATGGGCTGGCATTCTGAAAAGTAGAGAAGTATAACAACTGGTGTATTAATTTGTGCTGTGATGTGTAACTGATACCACTTAGGTTTGCTACAATTAGGCTCTGTTTTAAAACAGAGTACAAATACCTGGTGCTGGAGATAAGATAATCAGCTGAAAATCAAAAGGAAAATACAACAGGTAGCACTGTAGAGCATGTTGTGCGGAGGTAATTAATATATATCACACATTTTCAAAACCTATAACCTCTGTTAGTCAGCCCTTTATTAGAGACACTATATTCAGACAAATTGAACAAATCCTAAAACATATAAACCCCTAATACTACAAATACGTCTTTCCAAACAAAACCACATAGGTTTCTGTTTTTCTTTTTTTTTTTTTTTTGACACGATTGTTGTTGGATACTTAAAATTTATGAGTTCATAGATGAGTCAAACCTTGACTGGAGATGATTCCTCTTCTAACTACATGTGCTTTACCACAAACATTAAAACAACTACTTAGGAACAGCATTTTCTAGGAATTCTGAAAATATTTTAGGCAAAATTATTGTCATTACAGAAAAGTCTGAAACATTTCCTTTAATCATTCAATACATAGCTCCATAACTCCATACACTTGAAAACTATAATTTCACTGTAAGTTTTCTTCTCACATATGTGTCTATATGTACATACACACACATATATACGCACTATTATAAAATGAGGGTCAAGAAAAGCAGGACCTTTACATTTCCACACTTTCTCTGTTTGCAGTAGGAACAAAACTGCAGATAACACCTGTGCCATCTACAAAAATGGAACCAGCTTAACTTCAAATCCTCTTGACAGGCTCTGCTCTTCCCACTGTCATTTTTTCATTCTTACCAAAGTGTGTTTGCTCTAAGAGTATATTGTTAGGCCATACATTCAATTTTCATGCAACAAACCCCTCTCCCTTTTACACTGCCCTGAAATAACTAAATCTTGTGCCAGACCCAAAAACCAGGCTTGCACTGCTCAACTCCACTCTGCTGTGCACAAGAAAACCAGTTTGCAGCTGTGGTGTTGCTAGACCTAGTTATACACATAAACATTAAATATTACTTATTTTTGTGTTCTTCCAGTAGTTCAAAAAATAGCCTAAACCATGCAACATACAAGCAAGCCTTACAGGGCCTGGTTCTACTTGTGGAATGGTAAAGTATCAGTAATTCCTCTGAGCTCCACTAATGGAGACATGCTAATTGCCACATCTAGATTGCCATCAACTCACAATGGTGACAGGGAGAATTCAGAGTATTAAAAAAATTTGAAGGACTATGCCATAAACAGAAATCTTCCCAAAGTCACATTATCTCCTTACAGTACTCAGTCTGTGAACTCAGAACAAAAACAACCAACCAACCAACCAACCAACCAAATGCCCAAATCCAAAAAAACATCCAAACAAAACCCCGGTTAACCATTTCAGATATTTTTTCTCTCAAATTTGTATTACTGATTGAAGATATGTTTCCTAATGTTTGGGAATAGAAGTCTATCTTGAGAGCTAAAGTCACATAAGACAAATTCTCCAGCACAGCTACCATAGAGTATATGTGCATGAGGTTGGTCATCCATTAGGAAGGAAGTACTGGTGGCTTGGAAATGTCTAGTGGTTGTGGAAATGCTGGGAGGGAGGGTAAGCATAATAGAACATAGCTAGAGAAATCTGCAGAGCTCTGAACCCTCAAAGGGAAGCCTAAGGTGTGTACACTGAAATAAGTGCACCTGGAGAACAGCAAACACATGGCTGGGTCCCCAGAAGTATTCATTAGCAGGAATATTTCACAGTGAGCTGCAACTGTATGACAAGGAAAAATGGGCTTCTTTTGGGGAAAGTGTTCTGGAGACAAGTTTTTAACATTCAAAAAAAAAAAAAAAAAAGTTGGCCTCCCACAAGTATTTATGCTACAACAAGAACTAAAAAAATTGCTAGTTTGTTTAATTCTTCTTACAATATTAATTAGTAGAGTGATTTAATTTGCTATAAATGATGATGGATTGTAAATAACAGATATTTCAGAGCATGAGATGCTTTGGATGGAGAGATGCAGTACTTGCATCTGGAAGGTGTCTGCTATAGTAATTTCTTCTTGGGTGAATCCTACCACATGAACTGACTTGATCAGTCCAGTACAAAGCAAAGTCCTACTCATTTGAACAGTGGCAGCAGCAGCAAGCACCAATTTAGGCAACTTTGCTTTATCCCTTTCTAATATTCAACCCTTTAAAATCAACCTGTAATTTTTATTTCCAGTTCTTAGCTCAAAAAATGCTTGGGGTGAGGGGTGTCAAATTCAGTTGGAAAAAAAGGGGACCATGTAACTAGGGCCACTGCTTGCATTTAGTGGGATGGACAATAAGAATAAATAAGAATACAAAGAATACAAAAACAGGATAAATCAACTATGCTACACATCTGGTAATACACCTTATTTTACCGTATTTTTTATCAAGATGACATGCAGTCTAGAACTTCATGGCAAACACACTGGCAAAAGCCATAAATCATGAGAATAACAAGGCTCGAAGGAACAAGGCTTACAAAGACAACCCCAAGGGTGACTTTCTTGGATACCAATAAATAAATCCCTAAAGGCAAGGAGCTAAAGTACAGCAGCCCTAGCAACCACACTAGCACCCGAATCGAGGTCTGGAAGAGCAAGGATGTGCAGTTCCACACTGTCCAGTTGTGGGACACAGTTGCAACAGAGTCAAAACTTGTAGGCCTGTAAAATTCCACCACAGGGGTTGAGTTCAGAGTCTGGGGACTTTCTCTTTGTACTTCCATGATTGTTATAACCAGGCAATTAGAAGAGGTGTGAGAAGGGCTAACCAGAGATGCCAGCCTTTTGGGAGTCAACAAGAGTTCTGTTGGGTTGTCTGGTAGGCACTTCTTTCCCTTTCCCCCACAAGCTAAATTCAGAAGGATGTTGTTGTCATCAGGAAGACTACTAACCTCATCGTCTGGCAGGCACGTTTCAAACCTGCAGAATGGGCACACTATGACTCCTTGCGGGGAGTCACCAAAGTCTATGATCTTGCAAAGGCATTTGGCACACACTCTGTGACAGCACTCCAGCACTTTTGGTTTTCTCTGCCGCAGGTTATAGCGGTTGTAACAGATCTTGCACTCAAGCTCATCTGAGCTCTGGGTCTCCATGGACTCCTCTGGTAGCTGAGTGGTCATTTCTTCAGATGGTTTTCAGACCCGTGGAGAGAGAAGTTGGGATGAAGGAGTCGCTCAGTCTTATTTTAGAACATTTTCCTATCACCCATCTCAAACAGAAAAAGGGGAGATGACATCATTGCAAAGCATCAGTAGACATCATCCATTTTCAGCTTCTGCTAGGGACTGTGCACTGCATGTTCTTTACTCTGAGCCAGGCATCCATCTGAAAAAGCCAAAGGGGAATTTTTGTTGAAAGCAAAGGCAAAAACAGGAAAGGAAAGGGGAAGGGGAGAGAGCAAAACAGAGAGGGAAAGCTTTAGCAAGTTAAATATGCAAGTTCTACTTTTTATAAGCTCAGCTTCCTTTGCTAAAACTACCTCTAAGGTAGCTTTTTTCTGTGGCATACAAGGCCTATATAATAGTCATGCTGATGAAACTTAGCATCATACTGCATGGATTTATTTTAGAGTTGAAACTCTGAATGGTTCAGCCCATGAAGTTCTCAGCAGAAGCTGCAATCTAATCACTGATCTGTGACCATTTATTTAAACTTTGGTTTCCCAAGGAAATGAGACTTGACACCTGGAGCTTTTGGTCTTTCCTAGTAACTTGTGAACCTGCGGTCCAATTTCAAACCAATCAGAGGGGTACTGAAGATAATTATGTTGCTAAAAAGAAATGAGCACTGGCAATTGGGTAGAGGAGAGATATTTCCAATAAGTACCATTTATCCTGGAGGGTAATGGGTGGTCAACACACCCCAACCTCTGCTCTGAATGGGCAGCATGCTGCCTAAAGCTCAGCTAGAGAGGAGGGTAACGCAAGGGGAAGCTGGTAATGCTCTGGGGAAATAAAATTTTGGGGGAGTGGAATGGATAGGAAAGAGGTCCAGGGTTATGTGGGGACTTAGGTCAAATCTGGATTAGGCTTTGTTAATTTTTGTTTGTGGAGCAGCCCGTTCTTTTTCTCCACCCAGCTGCTGGGCATACGATTACAAAAATAAGTGTTTAGCTTGAAACAAATGTCTCCTTCAATATGTGGCTTCTGGGATGAAAGCTAATGTGTCTTCCAAGGGCATTCACCAGATGCTCTGGTTTTCAAGGGTGTCATGGCTGTGACAGCTGTTTCACACCTCAGCTAAGGAGAGGTCTGTGGCACATTTGCCCTGCTGCACTACCACTCTGTGCAGCAGTTTTGCCACCAGATCCATCTACCTCACTTAAACAAATGTCTTATCATATTTTGTAACACTTCAGGAAACAGTGCATGTATTATAAACAAAGCATTAGCCAGGAGTATGTGCTCTGGGGATAGACAGTCACCAGCATTTACAAAACCAGCTCTGATCTACCAGAAAATTAAAACTTCTTCCAGATTTAGGCACATTCTTGCTCAGAGAAATGAGGGCAGAACTGCATTTTGCAGGTTTTCAAACTCATCCCTTCATTGCTAGACTAGCAAGGAACTGGCCACAGTCAAATGATGGGCAAAGTCAGCACCTATGTCCAGTTGCCTCTTGCATTATCAGTAAGCATAAGGCACACTGAATATGAAAAAGTGGCCTGTTTCAAGAAACTTATTTCCTGACTATTTGTTTTAGTAAATATGTGATTTCTTTCCTTTTCCATTGGGAAGTTATTACTCTCTCCTAGCATTCAGATTTTTGTTCTTTTATTTGAGGACAAGACAAGAAGCAATTCTTTTAAGCAACATGCTTCTTCCATCAATACATTTTACCAGCCAGCCATCAGTGAAGTCTCTTTCATGAGCCTCTTGTTCTTACTGTGCTTTAAGAATTTTCCATTTCTGTATATCCAACAGAAGATGGGAGATATGAGAAAGGTGGATGTATAACTTCTATAAGCAACATAATTTGTAAAACTCACCTCCAGGGTTTTAAAACAAAGATGTAAACATCAGACAATGCAGTAACAAAAAACCATAACAACATAGTATGTAAAAAGCATACATATGTCTCTAAAAATTGTTACAGACATAGCCCCCTTCCCATTCAATTGCTTCAATAACTCCTTTCCTGCCTCTTTCGATTTATGTCTTTAGTGCTCTAAAGGTTTTCATCTCTGATTTACTGTTGTTTTTATTATTTGTATTGTAGATATATGATATGCATCAGACAAAGTAAACATTAGACCATCCGCAATTTTCAAATTGTACAAGCTAGACATCTTCTAAGACACAAAAAGTACATCTTTTACAGAACATACAATTTATCCTTTATCCTTTGTTACACTGTGTGCTTCCTTATTAACTTCTACTACTCTTTTTATTTCATTCCAAATATCATCTTCTAGATGACTTTTAGGTAGACATAAATGTCACAAGATGCTAACTTTCCAAAGGATGAACAAACCACAAAATGGACCAAAAAAAGTGAAATGCCAGCCTTCAGGAAAGCAAAGAACTGTGTAAAATTAAGAAGCCAAACAAAAAAGCAATGGTTTTAGGCTTTCACATCTTGGGTATCATTTACCTTCTGTACCTGAGGGGAATTAAGATTACTAGGAAGTTACTGTTAGTTGTCTGCTGTCAAATGTTGTCCTACAACATAAAACTAGATTCCTGATTAACCAAAAATCTTCTAAAATATGTGTCTGCTTCTCATGGAAAATTATGAGCTTTCTTTGAAAACTTCCAACATGAATAAACTTGGTATTTTAGTGTTTATCCTTCTAATTAATATTTCCAGGCTTTTTACAAAACCCAACCCATTTTCCAACCAATTCTATTCAGATATGGATCATCTCTCCCTGAACCTGTTTTCAAACTGAATGTGTTTTACTGATTTTACCACCTTTAAGTACCAAATTTTGACATTAACATAAGGAATAACAAGTCTCTGTGACTAGCAATGTTGCAATGTTGCTAGTTGCTAAACTGGGATCATTAGCTCAATTTCCAGAGCACAGTGATCTTCCTGTTGTAGTTTGTGTCATGAGCTATTCTACAATTTTTTTCAAACTCTTTAGAATATAATGTACTGTACAAGAAAAAGCAACTTTCATCGTCTTTCTAATTTCACAGAGTCTCTAAAAAAAGTCTGTCTGTAAAAAACCATTATTGATTGTTTTTTCTTTGACTAAGTTTTGATGTTGGATTTCTCCTTACCTGTTTTAGTATGAATACTTATTACTATTTGTAATTTATACATATTTTCCTTTGAAAATTAAAATGTAATCACTAGTTCCTATTAGCTTTTAATGTATTTTTCAAACTCTCAGCTCTATGGTGGTTTTAGATACTTCCTCTCTTGTTTTTGCTTTCCTGATTTCTTATGGAAATTTTTCCTTCTCAATATCCACTTTCCTGCTCTTTTTTTTTTTTTTTTTTTCTCCTGGAAACTGCCATCTTTTTGGGGTTAATTAATGCTGCCCTGGTATTATATACATCACATACACTAAAATGTTCTCTGATCAGAGACATATTAAAAATATATGGAAACTGAGGCTTTTAAAGATATTTGGCTTCAAATAATTCCTATTTCCTGAGAAATATGGCCAGCTACTCCTTCAAGCAAATTCTGCTCTATATCAAAGATTTTCTAGCTGGTCTTTTGCATGCTTCTCTGGTGAAGAAGAGTATTTACTGGAAGCAGGCAGGATAAGGAAGAGGTTAACCACTGTCCCTCTGAATACTGCTCCCTCACCAGAATTCACATACTTCTACTTGTTGAGTGTTAAAAGCAATATTAAGCAGGGGGGGAAAAAGAGATCATGTCAATATATTCATGTTTTGTCCTCCTCTTTGAGACATTTTTTTTATGATACCACAAGAAGGTATGTCCCTATGATGTGCTCCATTAATATTTGGACTATTTTAAATATTGAGCTGCAACCTGCATGTTCTTTCTGATCTTGAAACCCAGGGGCAGTCATGATGAATCCAATGTCTTTCACATCAAGTATGAAATCTGTAGTGACTGGAGATCAAAGTGAAGCTCCATGTGTAATTTTAAATAACCGTGTGTATTTTTAATAATTCTGGTATTGTCATAATTTTAAACTGCTTCTTATGTCCAGCTTTTCACCTGAACCTAGACTTGTCTCACCTGCTTGTTTGATACCAAGAGACACAAGTTATAACTAGGGAAATTTCAATTACAGAGTAGAAAAAAAATTAATACACAAGGTATTCAAACACTGAATACATGTCAAGACAGATGAAAATGAAACCTGCAACATTACAGATATCCTTGATTGGCTACAGCTCTGCTCAGGCCACTCTGCCTTGGAATTGAGCCCTGCTTTGAGCAAAGGGAACTGGATTTCCTGGAGAGTCTTTCTAAAACAAATTATTCTATGATTCAATGTTTTGCTACCATGAATTCATTCTATATGATCTGTTTGAAAAGCTTTATATCTCTCACTGAACAAAGAATCAGGCTGACAATTGTTTACGTAGATAAACAGCCCTCCTAGATAATAATTCTTTCATTTAACATATGAATTAATTTTTACAAAACCTAGAGTCCTTCTGCTAGTCTGTTTTCCAGAGAATCTATCTGATGGGATCAACACAATGCAATTGCAGACCATTTCATTCCTGTGAGTATTATATAGCAACACTAGCTTTCTGAACAAAATATAAACTACTAGACACCACTATAAACTACTAGACACGTCCAATGATGACAGTATCCACTGCAATTTATTGAATAACAAGCACATCTGTTATTCTATGACAAGCACTTGTGTTTTGTAAGAGTCCTGACTAAGTACCACAGGAGTGAATCCATCATTCCTTTTGCTGCTCGAGTTCTGACTTCCTCACTTTTTGTCCCAGTGCCACCCATCCTGTACCTTATGAACTCCTCTACTTGAAACTTTTACTAAAAAGGGGGAAAAACTGAAGAGAGTGAGGCATCTTCTGGATGGTAGAAGACACAAGCAGGCAATACAGTGCTCCATGTGACTGCTGGAGGGCAGATCCAGAATCAGAGGGAATAATCTCCCTTGCGGGTGAGAGGAGGTGACTCACAGGACCAGACTGAATCAATAATAGCAAGTTCTTATGTATGACCCCACAAATGGCCAGACTTTCTTCCCAGACATGGAGAGAAAGGTGAGTGGGCTGTGCAACAAGTTATGGCCCTTCTTTGTACTAATTTATCAAATACTGTGTAGACAAAGTGTTCTTATGAGAGGCCAGAAGAAATTACTTGTAGATGAAACTCTCAATATTGGAGCTCAGTCATGCTGACAGGGCAAAGTAGATGGAAAACTTGTGCCTCTCTTGCCTAATGGAAGATCATCTTTTCCCAGTTGATCAAACCAATATTTTATCATTCATCTCTCACACTTTTTTTTTCCTGTGAAGGGAATTTGCTGATATTTCACATATAACCTAAAATGAATACATGAACTCAGCAACTTCCATAAGACATCATCCATGGCTACTCAACATGTGATATTTTCAAAGGTTTAAAAGTTTCCTTAAATACAAGCTGAGCATATTTAGGAAAGAAGAGAAGGAAAACATATAGATAGATAAAGAAATAAAGAGAAACTTACTTTCCACAAAAAATAACTTCTTGGAAATGTTCACTTGCAGGGAACACAAGAAATGCCTTTTCTTTTCCACATGGGCAAAAGCTGGTAGAAAGGAGGGAAACAAAATTAGTAGAGCAGGAATACAGCTGGGAGACTTTTCAGTCTATTTTCTCTGAAAGAGAGGAAGTAGTCCAACTTCTCTAGTTTGGATAGAAACAGCCATATGCTGAGATTTCTGTTTAGAGAAATATATTGGGTAAACCTCATTTACTAAAATTATTTCTGTAACATAATCCAGTTATCGTTACAGATCTGTTGTTGATTTTAAGCCTCTTTCAATATTATGTGCTAAACACTCTGAAGTGCTATCTCTTCTAGCAACCACATATTCAGAAATGTTAGCAATTCACTAAAAAAAAACCCAATCTAAAGGCAGAGCATCCAAAGAGATAAACTGTGCTCTGAAAGAAGAGTTGTAAAAACATATTGAAATACTTTCCTTCACAAATGTCACAGAAGCTCTTTGATAATTTCTACTTTTCCAAACACAGTGCAGTCTCTTCTCCAGCACAGTCCAGAAGGCAACCATCTCCTGTGGGCCACTGCATTCATGTTCCATGGAGGAGCTTTGCTGCATTCTGACTCAGCAGGAAATGAACATCACACTAGATTTTTCCAGCTTGTGCTAAGCACAATGCAAAAAAACCCCACCCCAAATTACTTTACTAATCTGACATTTGAATAGAAAACATTCGAAGTGCCAGCAGCTATCACATGTTCAACCTGTTTCATGCCACATTTCTGCTAACAGTGGATGGGTTTTAACAATGGGCATTTCCCTGTCAACTCCAATCAATGAGAGAATTTGCACAGGAGTTACAGAATGTGATGTACTGATCCATGCTTGGCTTATGGTCAGCTGTGTAAACTGCTATGAAAAATGCCTCCATTCTTTTCACAAAAGCTTGGTTTTCAACAGCATAGGTAATGAGGTTATTCCTCCAATAACTATGCATGAAAGAGAAACCCCACAACATATACAGCAAAAAACTTGTGTGTTATTGACTGCTGAGACTATTATAAAAGAGAAACATTCTTATCAGAAGTTTTTGTTACAATATTTAGAGTCTTTGCTTGATCTCTCTCAATCCTCTACAATAATGTCACAAAAATGCAAAACACAGAAAATTACAGTTTTTCATATCTGAAGTGGAATTCATGGGTCTCTAATTATTTAGTATGGGAATTCATGTAATATTAATGTGCCATCTCATACTAAAAGAAAAAAAAAAAAGCAGTCTCTTAAAAAAACCCCTTATTCCTCATCCCTGTCCCATTAAGTAAACAGGGAGATTTTAATATAACAGGGCTCACTTAATTCAGGGTTCGACATAGGCTCTTACAGGCTCTCCTTTGCCTGTACATATTCAATATCATCAACTCCATTTCCTATTAACAATATAAATTGTGGCACTTTTTTGTTATTCCAATAACTCACATTATGTGTCAGGTAGTAGGGAAAATTGTATGAATAGACAATAAATCCCTTATTGAAACCCTACTATTCTCAATTACTTACTTTCTAGCTACAGGCTACTATAGTATTTATATGGATCATGCAACTGTGGTGGAGAAAAAAATGTTTTATTATTTAGGTTTGTAGGTAAAAACAAAACCTCTTCCAATATTTCCTATGAAGAATTTTTTCCTCATATAGAATTCATGGGCTATTTATATAGTAATATGCCAAGTGACTACTCAATGTGACATACGGTTGTGGGTTGCTTTGTAGTTGTTTAAGAATAAAACTAATAAAGGACAAAACATCTGAGCTTCTATTAGCTGTCTTGATTTAAACTGGCTTAATCAGATTAAATAGATAAGTAAAAAGAGATAGCTTGAAATTCATATCTGAAATGGTAACATTTAATTTTGGAAATATGCTAGTTTAACAGAATTAATTCCTTTAAAATAGTTTTTAATTCTTTCACAACCTGCTTACTTGGGCTGTTTAGGCATTTTCTCTTGCACAGTTTTCTCACTGACAGTGGCTTTTCCTTTATGACTCTGAAACCAGTAAGTGATCTACTCCAATTAATGTATATTTCACAACAGAACTCATGACCTTACTTCTGTTTCAGGGAAAGGTTAGACATTCTCCTCTTTGGTAGTAGGGGTGGTTTTTTGTAGCTTTATCAAATAAGATAGAGTTCTGCTTCTCTGCTTTAGTGCTTGTGCCCTTTAGGAGCTCTTCTGAGAGTTGAACAGACTGTAGGACATTGGTTCTAGAATATGACTTAAAAAGATACAAAATTATAAATAAATAAAAAGCTTCCAAGTATTGCTTAATATAGGCATAAATATTTAATCATATGGCCTACGGATAGGTCTAGCATTTATCTTTATATTAGACACTATTAAAAGCCAATACAATTTTGTACTAAGTTTCAGAACACATGATGAGAGCACCATGGAATTTTTTTCCTTGCTCTGCTTGTTACTGTATGCTTGAATGTAAGTAATTAAAATAAGTCCAGAAATGCAAGAAAATAACTTCTACTTTTAAAATAAAAATTACTTCTAATAAAAGGTACTAGGTTACATACTCAAAATTTAACATCTCCAAAATATAACAGAATTCTCACTATTTGGACATAGTTCATGTTATGTAATTTAGGAGAGACCAGGTGAGACAAAATGAAAGAAAATTTATCTTGATTACATCATTCAGTGAGAAATTTCCCTCCACACAGGGGAATCATTTTAATGCATTATAATAAGTTCCAATTAACTTTCAAAATAAGATTTAGTAGAAAGTAAGTGTGGCATTAACTTTGTCTTAATGAAGCTGAAAACAATTGCAGAATAGGCCAGAAAAGAAGTTGTACATCTTGCTTTTTCTATTGGCACTAAGAAAAACCCACCTAATATAAGTATGTTTAACTTGGTATATTCTGTTTCAGGCATTTTTGAGGATATGAGTAGATACAAAGATTTTACTGTATTGCCTATTTTATGTTGATAGTGCAAACAGGAAATAAAAAGGGTGGACATTATACAGGGCATGGATTTTATATATTCTTCACATAAATTTGGTAATAAGATTTTCTGCTTTATCTACGCTCAGATTTTGCACCTTATCCTGCACAGAAAGGAAATGGTAAAAAACAACTGCACTTCCTTCTGTCACAAGAATATCTGAAAACTCTGCATCAAAATGATCCAAATCCATTACAGATTTCCACTTACAAGCAACATTTTCAGCCCTGGTCTTCTATCATGATGTCCTTTTTGAAACACTGGCAACTAAATTCTGATCCAGCTGATGCTGCAAAGAGTCCCAATAGCTTGAAATGTGAGGGGTCTGAGGAAACAATGCTCTAACCTGGATTCAGTAAAGTGTAATTTTAATATTTCATTTAGTTCCCCTAAAGCACACACATAAAAATACTTATTTTGGGGATAATGATTATTCTTATTTCAGCAATACAGCAAAGTTGGCATATAACCCCTCCTCAACTGACATTATTATTATTATTATTATTATTATTATTATTATTATTATTATTATTATTATTATTATTATTATAACATCATTGTCATCACTAGAATTTCAATGTAACTAAGAATTTTAAAAAAATCTTCTTGATTTATTTAAAAAAGAGCAAACACAAACCCCTCAGATGATATAAAAAATACAATATTAGTAGATCTGGTTGACATGCAGTAAAATTGTATGTCTTTAATTGCATTCCTGGGAAATGAACAATCCTAACAGACGAGTGTCAGTGAGGAGACATTAACTTTGACAGCAACATATACTGCCCTCTTACAGGGCTTGTGAAAAAATTCTGTTTGGCCTGCTTTGTACACAACATGCACACCCACCATGCTAGACAGAAGTATGTGAAATAAAATTGCAGGCACTGAAAAAGCAGATGGGAGGAGGGAAATTGTGTCAAATGATATGCAGAGCTTCTATTCTATTCCTTTAAGGAATACAGGAATCATGTGAAACATGACCAGTTTTAAGTATTAGTCTGGTAGTATCTTTGTAGCTGCTGGGGATGAACTGGGATTGTCAGAGCTCCATAAATTGCTACACCACCAATATCAGAATTGCTGGAGTGTTCTGGTGAGACTTGCTTAATTCAGATTAATGCTTATAAAGCAATTAAGCTTCAGGGGGACTGATATGAATTGCTCAGCTTTAACATGTTATTTAGCAGTGAAATGTGGTATTTTTTTTACCCATTCTGAACTGTCAATGAAAGAGTTGAAGTGCTACTAGATGGAATATTTCAAGCAAAAGGCAGAATCCTTATGGGTTGAGACTCTATATACAGTGCCCTTTGGACTGGATAGAGAAGCAGAAAGAAGCTGAAATTTATTCATACGATATACCAGAATCCAGTTAAGAATGTAGTGTATCTCCCTCTCATGTGTTTCTAGTAGAAATATACTGCCACAGCAGCAGATAATCCAATCAGGTCTAAAATCGGATCAATATGAACCTACAAAAAATCGGAAAATCTGCACTTAGGAAATGTGTTTCTGAAAGAGCTTCATAATTCTATTCTGGGACAAGGGCAGCCTGGACTTTACAAATTTTCCATCATTCAAAAGAGTTACACTGGTTATATCTCGCAAACTCAATGAAGAGTATGAAACTGCATTTTCTTTGAGCAGAGCATTTTGATGTCATTTGCAACTACAATGGTTGAAAGGTTAAATGAAATGAATATGTTTGAAGTCTGCCAGTCGAGCATATTCAAAATACAAAATGCATGAGAGGAAAGCATCGCTTCAGAAATTTTGGAACTAATCAAGGCATATTCAGAAGCACAGCTTGTATATTAAACTAATTAAAAAACCAAACTCCAATCAAGACACAAAATGGAGAGAAAGTACATAAAATGGAATTCTAAAGGTTTAGAAAGCAACACAGTCCACAGAGAGCCATTACACTTCCCTATTAGCCTATAAATTTAGTTTAGTGTAAATTAATAACTGAGACCAGGTATTGGTATTTTTTTAACTGATAATAGTCAATGGGGATTTTAGTTTTAAGTGTTTTGCAACATGTACTACAAGATTAGAAA